ATTCATATAGAAGAAGAAAAAAAAGTGAAGTCGTTTTACATGTTTTCAGTATTTTCAAATATGTGTTTGGCAAGGTTCGAAATGTCGATGTCGATGGAAATGTCGATGTCGATGGAAATGTCGAGATCTCGATTTTATGGATATGTCGATGGATATATTGATGTCGATGGATATTTCGAGAAAAATCCTTAAAATTGTAGATATTGATGCAATTTTTTTAATGAGTATATAAGACTTCAATAGTAACTTAATTAGCCCATAATTGATCACTTTTGATTGTCATATCTAAATATATAAATAATATACTTATGAAAATCTTGTTGCAAATGAAAACGTCGGAACAAAAGTATGTATATATAAATGACAATTAATTGAATTAATAAATTAACGTTAATTATTACTTAAATATGTTATATTGATAATATCTAACTCAACTAAAAGATATGTGAACTATTGATATGTGTAAAAGGATGAACTAATCCTAGAAAATTTGAAATAAGGAAGTCCATGAATTAGAAAATGATAATCCTAAAATTTTCAATTTTAAAAATGGAATTTATAAATTAAAATTTAGAAAAATAAAAATAAAACTTTGAGAATCCCTCTCTTTTAAAAGTGTTTGGATCTTGGCTTTCCCTTCGTGTCTCTAAAGTCTCTCTCCCAAGTTCCCAACTCTACCCTCTATTGCACCCCAATTTCCCAAATCCCCCAGAAAAAWCTTCCCGTCAATCATTCCTTCTCATTCAACATTCAAGGAAAAACGAGCTCGACGACGGCGCACGTGTGGGCCTTGGTCTTGGCTTGCCTCACACCAAGTTTATAAGCCCAATACTGAATCAATGCTTATAAACCAACTTTCCAAAGATTATTCTTCCGATGTGGGACAACAAAAGGTTTTAATATTTGTCATTCCCAACATAGTCGGCACTGCATGCTCGAGAAGCTTATTTGGTCATGAATTATCTTAATCTCTCTCTTCTTCACTTAGATGGTTTCACAGTAGCATATTGGGATTGATAAAAATGATAAAAATGAAGAGGGAAAAAAGTTATTTCCCTATTTCTTAAAGAATTTGTTGACTTCCTCTACGATTTCATATCTGACGCGATGAGCTATTTCTTTACTGTCGAGAAGAATTCAGAACGGTGATACAAAGTGGCGGAGCAACTAGAGTATTGTAGAATGTAAAGTTTGAATTTGAAAGCGATCGAAATGTTCATGATAACTGGACATGTCGAAGAGAAGTCGAAATATCTTCGACAGGAGGGGAAAAACGAAATTCCCCTCCCATATCGATGTCGATATACTCGACACGTCGACATGAGACAACACTGGTGTACGAGGTGGCACAGGAGTAAGAATATGAGATCTTGTGGTATCACTTAGTATCATAGTATCAAGTATTGTGTTCGAAGCTTTACTAATCACAATACAAGAACTTCAATTATAGAAATCCATCAACTACACGAACATTCATTCTGAAGGGAAAAAATTATTTGCTTTAAAGGTCCAAATGTTATCTTCAATTGTCTCGGAAGCGGCACAAGAATTTGCAACCATCTTAATTCATTTTAGATTCAAAAAAATTATATAAAATAGTTAAGTTCTGAAGCTTTTTTTTTTCTCTTTTAACTATATTTTTTTAACCGGCTTAAATTTTTGAAATTGAAAGATTAAAATATAAAGGGACAGGAGGTAAAATCTTGCCCCTATAAAATTTCCAGCTTCGCCACTAATTTGTTTAGGTTCAACTATTTATTCGTCGTGCTCTGATAAATCAACTGATATTATCTATCAAGTGTGCATGGATTCCAATTAATATTATATTAATACAACCGACCTATCAAAGCATATAAACAAAATGAAATATTTTTAAAATGCAAGGACCAAAATCACTTTTGATTTTTAATATAGAGACTGGAAAATAACTAATCATGTTCTATATATTTCAAACTTCCCAACTATTTTCTTGATTTTACACCTCCAATTCAAAGTACTTTCAAAACTCTAGTTAAAAAATTTTAAATCTATATATATATAAAGTTTTCATAATTAATTTCTCTACTTTTTAATTTTAGTATAAATGAAAATTCTCTTCCAAAAAGTGGTGGCCATAATCTCTAGTTTTATAGTTTTTTTTAGCACTTTTTTTTCTCTTTCTTGTGTTCACTCTAGTGAGAATTGGGCCTTGATAATGGGCCACTAAAACCCACATAGGTTAGTGGGCCGCAACTTTTGACCATCTACCACTTACATGTCTAAAATTTGTTAGTAGTGACCCAAACCCACATATCCAACACTTAACCATAACCTAACCATAACCTAACCATGGTTAACCAATAAAGTTATCCTCGTTGTAAATAGAAAAACCTCGAATGAGTTGTGGAATTAATATCCCTTGCGAAACCAAGTTAGAGAAATTGTTGAAAAATCCATTACTAAGTTATTAAAAATTCAGCTCAATTACATAAACGCACACTCAATCGTGTGCCGACAAAATCAATATCAGCCTAAAAAATGTCCGACCACGAAAATTACCAAGTTAAATATTACATTCTAAATTCATATATATGGAGTAATATTTCAATGGAAAGGGAAACTGGAAACTCTTTTATATATATATATNGATAGGAAATAGTATACATATGCTGTCAAATCGAAACTACTTCACTAATCTAATATTTAAGGAGTTGGAACCTCTAATCTTTAGAGAAATAAGTAATATGTTGACCAATTGAATTATGCTCTTGTGGATATAGCACCAATCATTGGTTTTCTTTCCAAATAAATTTATATTTTATTAGGAATTAAACTTAAATAACAATTAATTATCTTCCAATACCCATTAAAAATAAAACACACAAAGAAAGTTTGGTGAAGGAAACAAAGGCCAAAAGCATTACAATATTCTCAATCCAAATTGCTTGTAATTTGCCACTTAATCTGAGTCACAATGCCAATGAGATTAAGGACAAAAGTGTCATATGGTCCTTACCATATTACAGATCAGCATTTAATCTTTATATATATATATATATATAATGTTTCTAATTCGCTCTAACCAAAGCTAAGTGTTATGGGTGAAATAATTAGGTCAATATCGAACCAATCGAGACAAACCTATCATATAGGACCACCCAAACCTACTATTTTATTACTCTCAATTGAATTCCTTTATTTCACGTAACCATATTGGACTCAATTAGTATACAATTGTGCATAGAGAATATCACACACGTGTGAACGATGCTTCTCATCACCTCATCTAATCACAACCAATTAATCTTCACTATTGTGTGTGTTAGATTAATTGCTCCACAAAATGGTTGAAATTATTACGAGGCCAATATAATCTCATTCATTTATTAATTCTATAAATCAATTTTTTAATGCGTATCGAGCGGGATGTGACATGTTGGCCAGAATCCAAAAAGAAAAATAAACAATAATGATGATCATTTTGGAATTTTCTTTCACAAATATTTAGTTTTCAAGATCAGTGACTATAAAAATATATATTATTCAACACATTAAAATTTCCATTTATAAATTTATAACTATAAAATGAAAAAGAAAAGAAAAAAACTTCATTTGTTCCAGTCATGTATAGCTTTCTAAATATGTCTCTTTATTAACTTTTTGTACTAAAAAAAAACGGTATCCAAATTAATTTTCAAACAAACTTTGATATATCACTTTTTCTGGAATTTCAACTCCATCAATTAAATCGTTTCTTAAATTTCTCATTTAATACGAGTTGAAAAATTAATTTGTTGACCAAGTAAGATGAAAATTAATTACATACAAAAGTTGCCCCACCTTCGGTTAATTTTTTTATTAATTAAATTGTTGTTATTTTATTTTATTCTAATGAAATTATTTTTTGAGATAGGCAAAAAGTAGATTAAATTTTTCCATAAAATTATTTAAAATAATTGAACTGAATCTCTAAACTCTAAAGTATCCAGGAAGGAACCACTTTGACTCTACTATACCCAACCACATCTCTAATGATAGAACAAATGGAAGGTTTAAGTTACAATAATTTATATTTTAAGTTAAATAATTTTTAAAATATTGGTGATATAAATCAAAGGATAGAAGATTTTTTTTTTTTAAATCTGAAAAATCAGTTTTATTTTATGATGACGTGTACATAAACGATAATCTTTTTTTTTTAAGTACAATACAAGAACCGTTACTTGCCCGCTAGGTGAGGAAACGAAGCCGTTGCTCCGTTCTGCAACCGTCAAACTTTCCTTTTCTTTTCTTCTCTTTTTTTTTCCCTATTCTTTTTATATTAAAGTTTTTTTATTGATATTTAATTTATTAATTGAAACGAGATTAAACATAGTCTATAGGTAAAGACGTAGATCAACTTTTTTTTAATTATAAATTCAAATTATCACTTTTTCACCCAAACTAAAAGTCTTTTTTTTTTAAATACAAACTAAAAGTCATTATAAATACTAATTATAATTATTATTTATATATATGTAAAAATCATCAACAAATTAATTAAGACATATATCATCGTCAGTTCAAATATCTGAAATGTTACCGAACTAAAAAAATTCGAAGTAAAATAGTTAACAACTATTTGTTTACCCATTAAATCATGGGTAAATCTCACTAATAAACAACATATTTAATTTTAAAGACATGAATAAAGAGGTTTTTTTTTTTTTGTAATAACAAATTTTGAGATAAAATTTAAAAGATTTGATACTAACTTCATGTAAATATTAGAGCTAAACATACCGTTTAGGTTTTTAAGTATACACCTTTTCTTTTCCAATCTCATCGTTAATATCTTAATTCTTAAAATTTTGAATTTTACCTTGAACAACAAAATATCTTCAATTCAGATTTTTAATTGATAACATAGTCGAGGTTGAAAAAAATAAAAAATCAGTCAAACCAGCTTTCACGTCAATAAATAAAAAGTGCATTAATTTTCTAAAAAAATAAAAACATCAATAAAAGTAAGAAAGGGGGGAAAAAGACAAACAGACATTATTGTGGCTGAAATATTTATAAGAAACATACAAGAAAAGATAAATTCTATTTATTTCACCTCTATATCCTCAAAAGGAAAAAGGAAAAAGGAAAACACGAACCTCCATGACTGTGTTTGTATTGGAAACTATGAACAAAAATCTAACGCTTTTAACTTTTATTTATTTTCTTTTTTGGTAAAAATAGAAAAAGAAATTTAAGCGGTTTCTAATCCGGAGTTGGAAGGGTTGGAGGAGGAGATGATTTTGATGACCAAGCCGGGGAAGACGTCATCCGGGTCATGGATATGCGGGTTCCGCTCCACGATAAACGGGTCGCCGCACTTGTCGCTGATGGTGTGCAGCGTTTCCCCTTCTCCGACCACATATATCTCGTCGCACGGCCGCCCCCTGACCAAGTTTCCTCTGGCCAGCCGGCCGTCATCGGCGGCGCCGGCGGAGTAGGTGCTTTCTCTGATCGACCCGATCAAGATCAAGGCCAGCATGCCCACGGCGCAGTACCATGAGACGACGTCGGTTTGGGGCCGTGAAGAGGGAGCCCCACTTCTAATTCTTCTGGTCGGAGAGCCGTCCATGGCAATGGTGGAAGACTAATTTTAAGCCCTTCTTTTTGGCCCTTTATTGGGATTGGGAGTACCGAGACACATAAAAATTAAAAATAAAATGAAACGGAACGGAAGTATATATAATACTTATTTAAATAACTGTTGGAGAGAGAAAAAAGAAAAGTGGAGTAGGCGTTGGGACTGGGGGAGGAGGTTGAGGTTTGGACGACTTGGGTTCCACCTTTTGGATCGGTTTCAAACTTTCAAGTCGTCTCAATTACCCTTCAAAACTCATCCAAATTACTAAAAACCTCATACCCCATTAACTAATTTACCTCAACTCTTTCAAGGTTTAGTTTCTTTGACAGGTGTGGGTTGTGTTGTTACCAAACTTAGGTAATTTTAGGCTAGTTTAGATTAAACGCATTGGAAGATCATGAAATTGAATTGTATACACATTATTAGAATTGTTAAATAACTCATATAGTAGATATATAAATTAAAGGTATATTACCCACTTAAACATAATTTGATTGGTTAAAAAACCTATCTCAAAAAAAAAAAAAACTAAATTCCATTAAAAAATTACTGGAGAATATTAATTCAAAGCTTAAACTTGCCCTACTTTTAAAAATATTGATATTAGTATGCTACGATAATTTAATATATAATAAATCATATCACAACGTGGAAGTAATCAAAAGGACACAAAGAGCCTCGTTTGCATCATTCAAAGGGAAAGAAAAAAGACTAAAAAACTTTGAATCATTTCCAATGCCAATTTTTGAACCCCAAAGTCAACATAAATAAATTATATTCTATATGCTTCTAAATCCAATAAAGCTTCTTCTTGTGGCTATGTGGTGTATTGCTATTGCCCCTCCTTGAGCCTATAACGTGGTGATGTTTTTGCGGACCAACCAACTGCAATTTTCTTTTTCCGATATCTTAACCGATTAAAATATCTATGTCAGACTAAAAGGTCGTGACTTTGAATCTCCATCTCACAGAAACCTGATTTTCTTGTTATATTTATATTTTCTAAATTTGTGAGTGTTTTATTATAGTTTTTAAACTTTAAAGTTTAGTCTTTATGGTTAGTTTTTAAATTATCTACCATTCAACAAATAATTCGAAACCGTATGTAATGAGAAATTTGACATTTGGCGATCTACTAAATATAGCTTCAATAGTTGTCCTCTCAAACTTTTTTTTTCCCTAAGGAGTCCTACATGAACATCTATTCATTAAGTAAATGAAGAAAAGATATATTTAGAGAGGTTTATGCTTAAGTAATTTTTTTACAAAATTTAGGGGTTTGAATGGTTTTTGAAAATTAAGAGACTAAAATAAAATAAGTATAAAATTGTAAAGATGAAAAATAAAAAATAAATTAATACACACACGTTTGAATCATTTTTGTCATGAAAAGTTGACATTATTTTTGTTCCCCAGCTAGTTTGGCATGACATGTTGATTTGACAAGAAAAGCATAAATTTTTTTGCCATAGTGATCTATCTTATTCAAAATCTTGATCTCAATCTTTTACCCTATTAAGATTTGATTTAAGTTGGTTGCGTGACCAACCATCCTTTATATTCAGAGGTTACAATTTTATTTATCTCAATAATTTCAATCAATTCTTTATGAAAAACAAAAAATCAAATCATATGTAACGTGTGACAGTTGTGCAATAAAAATTATTTGATTCACTTGATACACATATACATCTCTACTTTTATGGGTCATTTGTTTTTTGGAAATGTAGATATCTGAAATTTTAGATGCATGGAATTTTAGATATCAAACATTTTCAGATACCTAGTTTGTTTTGTATGAAAATTTATAAAGTTATTTAGTAATATTTCAATAGCCACGTTTGTTTTGCAGTTCGGAATATTTCTAATTTTAATGCTCTTTTACGAATTATATATTAATTTAATATAATTTATATTTATTTCTTTTTACTACTTTTTTTATATTAATTCCATATGCATTAATTTTTGTATATTATTTTTTAGAATTCATAATAGTATAAGATTTTTTTTAAAAAAAAAGTAATATCAAATATAAATTTTATTTTCAACTTTAATTTTTCAAAAATACAAATATATAATTAATGTTAACAAATATATTATTAACCTTATCTAAGGTGAAATTTATTTATTATAATATAAAATTATATTTTTAAGAAGAAAAATATCAATTTTATGTTGGTCATTAAGGAAACTGTTAGTTTTAAAATTACCTATTTAAGATAATAATTCTTTTTAAATATTAAAATTAAATTGAGATATTGTACCATTTAACTGAAGCTTATTTTATATATAAATATACTTGATTGCATAAAATTGTTGTCAATGATTACATTAATTTATTTAAATTATAAAATAAAAATAAAGAAAATTGATGAAAAATATTGAAAAGCAAAAAAGAGACGATGCCATGAGAATCTTGAAAACTCRTGTTTCAAAAAGAGTATCAAAAAATACTTAAAAAAAGAAGGAAAAAAAATCTAAAACAACTCAAATGTCTCTCGTATGTATCTTAGGATACCAAGCATTTTGAGAGGTATCCTACATTACTACAAATCAAACATGAGAATCCAAATGTCCGTTACATAAGAATCTTGAATTAYCACAAAGTAAGTACGAAATATTTCAATCATATACATAAATATATATCCTAAGCTTTAGGCGCAGAAATTAGAAGTGTATGTCCAATTGGATAAAATTGAAAGGAATAAGCTAACCAAATCAAATCGAATCAATGGTTTTGACCGAAAAATTAATATYAGTTGAATTCAGTCTATTTAATTTTGATAAGTTTGGAAGTTGATTTAAACGTTTTAAATTGGGTCTGAGTTTTTTAAGTTAATAGGTCGATTTTATTCTATTTTATTTTTACTTAAACAAGCTTGAACCAACCCACTTATATGTACTCGATAACTTGAACACTTTTGATGTCATTAATATCACCAATAGTTGAAGCCAGTCATGAATAATCCAAATCAAAGATTTAGTGTAGAAAGTTTTGAAAGTTAGAAAGGAAAGAGAGACAAATACCAACCCATTTTGAGAGATTTTGGGGTTTAGCAAAATTTAATACGTTGTAACATTCACAAGAAATGCATCGACACCACCTGTTATATATTACCTTTTTTCTCACCTAAAATTTTAATTGCGCGTCAATATGGAATTAATTTAGTGGTAATTGACATTGTCTCTGATCAAGAGGTCATAAGTTCAAATCCTCCCCCCCTACTTGTTGTACTCAAGACAAATAAATAAAAGTAAAAAGATTGAGTTGCACCACCATTGGATTGGGTTTCATTTCCACTATTTTATAGCATAAAATGTTTATGATTCTCAAAAGAAGTTAAAATGATCCATTTAGTTCCTAAACTTTAATGATGGTATCAATTTTGATCCTAAAATTTAAATTTTTAATTCTAATAAATCTTTGTCTTGACACTGGTTGCTTAATTTTGATATGAAATACTAACCGTAATTTAAATTTTTAATTCTAATAAATCTTTGTCTTGACACTGGTGGCTTAATTTTGACATGAAATACTAACGTAATAATAAGTGATGGTTTAACATAATATGTTGCAACCACGAATGGTTGCTCATCAATAGATAAATATTTAAGTGAGTAAGTGTTTTAAATTAAACTTTTTCCTGTCCATCATTCTTTCTTTTTGGGCTAAATACCAAATGGATCTTTATCATTGAAGCAGTTATAATTATCAATTTGGTTCTTAATATTTAATATTTTAAAGTTCTCAATTATACTTTTAATGCATTGAAAATTATCAACGTCCTGCATAAAATAATTGTTAGGATTTATTAACAAAAAAATATTATTTTCTATTAAATAATGTTTTATAAATATATTTAGATTTTTTTTTATACAATATGTGAGGGTAGGGATTTGAATTCATGACCTATTAGTTAGAGATTRATGTCATAACCCTTTGAGCTATGCTCAATTTGACTATTAATATATTTAAATATATGGACATGCTACTTGAATATGAATTTTCGATAGGTTGAATTTTGAGAATGGACCAAATGACACATGCTGATGTTCTGTCAACTTTTTCCTAACAAATTTCTTAGGAAATGAATTTAATACATTTAAAATTAAAATTGAGTTTTTTAAAAGATTAGAATCAAATTAAGAATTAACCAAATAATTAAGAACTAATCCTTTTTTTTTCTTTCTTTTTTTAATCTTCCTAGTTTACTCATTTGTCCACATGCTAYGACAAATCATCATTTTGTTTGTTAAATCAGTATGTCACACCTTAGCATTTAAGCGATGATGTTAAACAATGATAAAAATGTCAAGCTCAACTGGTKAAAGCATATATCTCCAACAAAATATTATAAATTCCAATCTTCACCTCATATGTTGTTTTACAAAAATAAAAATAAAAATTTATYAAAATAAAAATTAAATGGAAAGTAATTATTAAAAAAAATTAAATGCTGAAAATAAAACGGAAACAATCATCAAAATTCATAGACTAAAGGAAAAATTTAACAAAAACATGACGGAAAAAAAACACATCCTTTAAAGAAGTTAATGGTCCAACTGAGTGGAAATAGTATATTTATTTTTATTGTAAATAATAGGAATGAAAATTTTTAGGGGGTTAAAAATAAAATATTTAAATATTATTTTAGGTATGAGTTTAATTCATCAGTATATAACCCATGTTTCGGTGTATTTTTAAATTTTATTCATTTTATTTTATACTTTTAAAATATTTATTTTTGTCTATRACTAATTTGACTTTCATTTGTAAAATTTTAACATAAATGAAATTAAAAATAAAAATTAATGATCAAAATAATCAAAGTATAAAAACTAAAAGATCAAAATAGTATTTTTAAATCAAAAGAGAAGTAATAAAAAAAAAGGGGGAGAAATTGAGGGGATTGGATGGGAAATCATGTCGGCAGGATTCATGTAATTGTACACGTAAAATTTGGGATCTTTGTCTCATTCTAACTTGACTCTGTCTCTCTTCACATAAATAATACATTTATTATTATTTTTTTTATTATTCACTAAAAAAAATCACAAAGTGATTGACTTCCCTTCATGTGTAACTTTACTACGTGAAACCTTTAAATTGGCATCATTACTTAATTAATTAAGAGAGAGAGAGGCTTGAATGGGATGTCAAACTTCTAGAAGGGATT